CCGATACAATACCGGATAGAACCGGTACTATCTGGAACCGAGACGAAACCGGTATCGGTACCTCCCGGTTCTGTTGCCAACCATAATAGTGAGTGAACAAACACAACAAAGGAAGGAGGGAAAGAGATTTGGGCCCAAGTTTGATTTTCCTGTCCGCATGGACCAATACTTGGGCCTATTTTTGTTTTGGCCTTTTAGCCCATTTGAGTCACCTGCACATGTCCTAAACTAACATGAAATAAAATATTATTTGTCCTAAATTTCCAACAGAAATAATAATAAGACGACAAGGGCTTAGGTCCAAAATAACAAAATACAACTTCTTTGAAAATAAAGATGGGCTTTTTGGCCCAATCTCTTCAATTCTCCACTGCTTCGAATTCATCAACTCCGAGACCTGTATGTCAATTATTTTTGGACTCGATAGGAAACATAGAATTGGGCCGCCCAATTCGCGAAATGCAAGGGGAGGGAGCCTCCAAAGACTCGGAAGGAAGCAGTCCATGCATAGGAAAAGAATAAAACAAGATGGAAATTAGAAATGAAACATATTTTAAAATTTTACAATATAACTAAGGCATATGAAAATAGAAATAAGGTGAAAACACGCATGATTGGTTCACTATGTCAACATAATGCAGAGATGACCCAAAGACTGCATACAACACTTGCAAACTATTTGCTTAAGATGAAATGAGACTTACATGATAAAATAAAATACTACAATATGATGACGAATTGGTCAGATGTAAAGGATTTAGGCATAGCTACTTAGACAAATATAATAACAGAGAAGCAATTATCAAGCGAAAAAATGGAACAAATTATTGAGGTTGGTGTCATTAAGCTAAAACAAAATAAAAAATAAGTAAGAAAAGACAGTATGAAACTAAGCAAAGGCAATAATAAACCCATGTATAGAATAGACTAAACTTGAGCATTTGACCATGAACCAAAACAGTAGGCATGAGAAAAATAAAAAAAAATCGATATCACTTAAACTCTCATTCAAGACGGGGAATGACATTTAACTCGTGCAACTCTCAAAGAAGCATGACTAATCTTAAAATTTAGTCACTAAACATTAAAACTCAAAGCACCCAAATCATTTTAAGGAATCAAAAAATACATCAGACCAATCCTATAAAATCGAGTCATTCTTTAAATACTATGGACAACAAGAAAGCGTAGACAACTAAGATTAAAACCCACGACAATAGCAAACGAAGGCTCTATTAAGCTTAAATGAGATTAAAAAGAATCAGACTATATCTTCGAAACACTCTAAGGAAGTAAAGCACTGAAACGAGGACATATCAAAACGACATTCAGACATCAAATGAAGCAGATGACGGAATAAGCTTGAACAGTGAAACGTAGAACTCACCCTGTAAATAGATCTTTATAACTTCCAAATTTATACTCAAATGACTACAAATTTCCCAGAAGATATTTAGGTAATAACGTTAAAGAAAGAATCGAACCAAGCGGTAACTAAAGACTAAAGGTTTGACCACAAATGAGACCATGATGTAAGAAACTTGGGGAAGACTAAATAAAATACACCTCAAAACATAATACTCTAGCAGCAAACAGGGGATACAACATTCTTAATTTTCAAGTCATATTAAGAGGCACATAAACTCCAAAAAAAAGTAGTCATTCGGGCAGTAACGAAGCAACACACACTATTTACAAAGAGGAAGAGCAAGAAAGTAGGGTTGAGAATGTCACCTCTTCTTGGGCAGTTCCCTGGGACAACAAACAGCGAACAGAGCAACGACTTCACCACTACCGTGCACTTCCAAAGAAACTCGATGGAAAAACAAGCGGAGAGAACGAAGCTAGTGTCGAATAATGATCCTCTTCTGTACTTCTAGTTTACTGTATTTCCTTCCAAATTCCAGCGACTTCCGCTTAATATTTTCCTCACTTTTCTCTAATGATTCTTTAAGTCCAAATTTTTTTAAACTCAAGAAAATTCCCCCCCCCCCCTTCCTTTTCAACAGTGAACCAAAGCCATTATATAGAATCCACATAGGGTTCGGAAAAATAGGGGGGGAAGGGGGAAGGGACGAAAATCCGGGTTCAAGGCCCATTCCAAATTTGAAATAAAAAATCTTTCACAAATTTGGACAAACACCCTTTTTCTTGCAAGTTTCGTCCCATTTCGGAAGAGGAAAGGGCGAATTGACGCTCCGGATTGATTCACCCGTCCTTAGGCGCGACGTGGCTCCATCTCAAGGCCACAAGGACAAATTTCGCGTGCAGGAAAGTGCCTTTTTGCTGCTGTTGCAGCGATTTTGGCTAGGTTTCAATTGATTTGCTGTATTTTCTGGGTTGTACGCAGGAGGAAGAAAGCGTAGGGGTGGGTTGGTTGTTGTTGCTGTACGTTGTAGCTGCTAATGTGTTGGCGTGAGATTAAAAGGGAAAAAGGGATGGGGATGGGTCGGTTCTGGTACTGTATGGGCTGCAGGAAGTGGGCTGCCATAATTAAAAATTGGATAAACTACCTTATTAGACATAAATCACTACTATATATACTAATATTATCTTTACTTTCAAACAATTACATATATTACCACTTTTAAAATTTTATACCATATATTAATATATTATTTGAAGATACAATTAGATTATTAGATACCCACATACCTTAAAACTATGATTGATTAATTAATTATCTGCTTAATTAACTCTTTCACTCCAAATTAACCACTATCTCTTAATTCTCCCCTCCCATATTTATCACTCAATTATGTCTCCTCCTTTATGATTCAAGAATTTCATCGTACAATTTCATTCCAACAATAGCTAATCTACTCTCTTCTTCTCAAGATATCATCACCATGGCCGACAAATTCTCCTGAACCCAAATATTATTCTGTATTGTTCATTTATAACTAGATCAAATCAAAGTAACTACTACAGAGAAAACTTTAATTCATAGTGGGTCTTGATTGTTTGTCTCCGAAAGAAATGGATCTTAGTTTTGATTATGTTATACCACAACGCAAAAGGATCAAAGGGAGTATTGTAGAGAGTTTTTGTTTGTTGGTGTTCTTCTAAGGCTTTCTTTGGTTACCGTGACATGGATTTGGTAGTACCAATATTACTTTGATATAGCCCTTGAAACATGTGTATCCAATAAGTAGTAATCTTAATTAAGATCTGAGTTGTATTTTTAGTAATGGGGTGTCTGACCATGTAT